TTGATAAACTTTTAACTATTACAATAGATAATGTAAGCTCTAATAGTGTTAATATTTCATATTTAAAGAATGTGATGAAAAATTAGCCAACTAATATATTGTCAAATAAACATGTGCATGTTAGATGTTGTGCACACAATATAAACCTCATTGTGTGTGATGATTTGAAAATGATTAGTGTTTTGGTTATTAAAATTCGAAATGTAATTAGGTTTGTGAGATCTTCACTTTCTAGGCTACTTATATTTAAGAAATGTGCAGAAAAGTTGCATATAAAGTGTAAGAAAACATTATATTTGGATGTTGCAACTCGATAGAATTCAACTTATCTTATGTTAGAAGCTGCTGAAAAATTTGAAAAGATGTTTGTGAGGTTTGGTCAAAGTGAACCTAGGTATATGAGTTACTTTTTAGAGGTTGATTCAAAGTGGAATAAAAAAATATAGGGCCACCTAGTTTGGAAGATTGGCAAAATGATAGAACTTTACTGAAGTTTTTAAAGATCTTTTATATAGTTAAATTGAAATTTTCTAACTCATTGCATGTTATATCAAATCCATTCTTCAATGATTTGATTTATATGTATATAAACTTGTTGTAATTGTGTAAAAGTAGAGATAATATTTTGAGTGGAATGACAATCAACATGATGAGTAAGTTTGAGAAGTATTGGGGTTGTGGAGCAAATCATAATTTTTTATTGTGCGTGGCTAATGTTTTGGAAATATATGAAATTTTATTTTGGTGAGTTATATAATTATGATACAGCACAATTGCTAACTAAAAAAAATAAAAGATAATTTGGTAAGCTTGTATGATAATTTGGTGAGCTTGTACGAGTTTTATTTGAAAGCCGATGAAGTGGAGGATGATAATAGGCATAAACAAGATGTTAATGGTGTTATTGATGACATGGAGGTAGATGTTAACACTTTAGCTCGGTTCAAAAGGCACTTACAAGAGGAAGATAGTGTGGAAAATAAAAATGAGGTTGAGAGGTATTTGATTGATAGTTGTGAGGATCCTGATGATGATAAATTAGATATTTTAGGTTGGTAAAAAATTAATGCTTTAAAATATAAGATACTTTTGAAAGTTGTACAATATGTTTTGGCTATTTTTATATCCACAGTGGCTTCCGAATCAGCTTTTAGCATGGGCGGTCGTATACTCGACCAATTTCAAAGTTTCCTATCTGCAGCAACAATTCAAGTACTTATTTATTGTCAAAATTGATTGCATCGTGATCCAATTCCAACTAATAATACAACCTTGATGAATGATTTTCAAACTATAAAAACCTTGAATCAGGTAATGTTTTTTAAAAACTTACACCTTTTATTTTATGATTTATTAATTAACATATTTTTATTCTAACATGTTTAATATTTTATTTTGTAGAATTTAGTGGAAAGTTGACTTTAGCAACGGATGATAATTAGTTCATAAATTGGGATGTATTTATTAAAAATGTATGGTATAAATACTATTTTTTATTTTTATATCTTCTGATTTAATTTATCATGTTATAATTGTAGAATATGAATTTTAGGAATCAAAGTGCAATGCTTTTGAAGTACTTTTTTATTAAGATGATGTGCGCATAAAGATTTTTTTTTTCGTTTGGAGAGTTTTATGATAATGTTATTTATTGCTTTTTTGTTAAGCCCTTTGAAGACAGTAGTTTGTAATTTGGATTTTAACTTATTGGTGTGTGATTATAAGTATGTGTTTTTTAAAATTTTCAAAAGAAAAAAAATATTAGGAAATTAAAAAATATATTGAATATAAGATTAACATTAATAATTTTATATAAATAAATAATCAGTGGTCAACAAACTTAATAAACATATTCATATAAATGAATAATAAGTGGTCAAAAAACTTAATAAACATAAGATTTTCACAATAACAATTTAATACAATTGAATATTTAGGGGTAAAAGAATTAAATATATTCGAAATCTTCAAAGAAAAAGAGAAAATATCAATATTAATTGCAAGCCTAACATAAACCTATTAGAAGCCCATTATAAAGCAAAAAAAAGTTCAAAAAATACATATAGGTTTTTCTAGTTTTTTGGATAAAAAATCAAACAGAAATCGATGAGTTTGAGCCGATTCCAATTTCATTTATAATTTTTATTTGAATTATTTCTAAATCAAACTAAACAAAACATAATCACTATAAATATAAACACACACATCAATAAGTTATACTATTACTCTTCAAAAATAAAGTATAATTAAATTAATATACAAAGAGTGCGCCGAAACCGCTTGTCGGGGATAAAGAAAGAAAATTCCTCATTGTCAAGATTAATACCTCATCCATGTTCTTTGTCTCTGTCAGAACGAGGTTTCATCAGGTTGGTCATTTAGACATTTTTTTAATTTAATGCAGAAACAAATACATAGTTTTTGTTTCGTCCTAATAGCTATGCAATTTTGTTGCCACCCGAGCGCGGGGATCCAAGCCGTGTGGAAATGCAACGCTGCAAGTTCTTCTTTTTTATATAATAATTATTATTGTTTTTTTTAATAAATAGCTAGACAATTCTTTAAGATCTTCCACATAAATGTAAGAGACATCATTGACATACATGTGAAATTAAGGCAACATGGAACAAGAAGAAAACGAACCCCAATACATGATCCTTAGTGCTTTTCCTTGGGAAAAAATATATTGCAAGGTTTTTTTTTTATGGGGTTTGTAGTTTCTTGTTAATGCGTGCAATGTCCACACTGACAATATATTGGAGTATTTGCCATGGTCAACTACTTAAGCAGACTGCATGACAATTCCTTCGGGGTCGGTAGTTATGTTTCTCAGCGAGTTTTAAAATTAATTAAGAATTATTAATTTGGGAGACTCAATCGAGAAATATTTATCTTTAAGAACTCGATGGAGAAGTAGATGCTGTATTTGTTGGAGCAATTTACACAGAGATACAAGTAGCCATGGCTGACCCTTAGCTTGAAAGATCTTGGCACTTGGCAGTAGCCCCTAGCCAAGTAGAGGTCACGAAGACTATATGATACTTTATAGAGCTTAAGTGTGTCGAAAGCTACAATTTAGAATAGTGTCAGAAGAGATTACAAGTCAACTATTATATGGTTGATTTCAGTTTTCTCGGGCAGTTCACAAGCCAATCTAGGACAGCCCCTATGAGAAATGCTTCGCAAAAAAAACAATAATCCGAAAGTACTCTTTATTTTAAGGTTCGTAAAACATTTCATTAAATTAATCAATACATCCTTCCTATGCTGCTGACTGTCCAGTTAATTTTAGCTAGAGGACATTCTGCTTTAGATTCCCTCGAAAATAAATAAACATTTTTCTGTCCAGATATATAAGAACTTCGATCATTTGTACATCAAAGTCTATAACAAATAAGCCGACATGTTTAATTTTAACATATATATGTTCAATGAAAATAAATATATTTTTAAATAATTTTGAAATGAGTTTTAATATTTTTCTATTATTTTTATTTTTTCTATTACAAGATAGTAACAAAAGATTGCTTGTATATTTCAAGATAAAGTGTGAGTGTGTATAAGTCAATCATAATTCGAATTCTATTAAGAGCCCATCAAATACGGTTGAAGTCCAGACCGGTTTCTCGGATAAGAAAATTCTATCATATACATTTTCTCGATAGTATTTTGTAAAAAGATTTTTCTAGAATTTATGTAGGTAAATGATGAAAAAATCCGAACAAGTATAAATCGGTCAATTTTAACTAAATGCCCATCTTCTGTCATCTGATTATTCATAATTAATATATAGTCAACCAACTACTAATCGTGGAAAATTAATTATTGTCGGTGTTTGATTAATTTAAAACTTTACGGAATGTAATAGAAATTCTAGAATAATATTCACAACAGCTAGCAAAATTATATATATATATATTTGGCAAAGAAATCAAGCTAGCCCTCCCATCATGATGATTCATGGACTCTCCAAGAATTTCACATCTCCTCCTGACTGCATTCGAAGGGTAAACCAGCTACTTCACAAGGCAATGATTTCAAAACTTGATGTTCACGATTTAAAAATTGCACATGAACACCAGGATTCATCTATCACAATATTTAGGAAGTGATATGATAGGCCATGAAAGGAGGCAAGAAGTAAATCAACGGTGAACGGTGATGAGAGATTATTTCCATCATGAAACATGGAGAAACCATAATTCATTGACCAAAGAAGCCATGGAGGGAAATTTGGTTTAAAAAAAGGGAAGGGTGTGCAAGGAAAACCCTTACATGCAAAAACGCGTAAAAGAACATTTTAGGAGAACAACCTTTTAAAAATACAAAATGTAACTGGATTTACTCATTGAATATAAATCTACGGAGAAGAGAAAGGAGAGCGTAAATATTTTAAGCAAGAGACAGAGGCCCTGAAAGAGTGGGGGGGTTTTAAAGCAAATTTAATATTACATAGAGGGCCGAAACTGAAAGTGGAATCTGTTTCCTCTAATTGGAAGATTTGTTTTTTCTTTGTCATTATTTGAATTTTGTTTTTTTTTCCTTTCATGTTGATTGGATTTTCTTGAACTTTATGAGAATGCCATCCACATGTTTTGTCTTTATGTGTACCTCATTGTTCTATAAAGGAGTCACTAATCACTTTTGTTGAAGCCCCCCCAGGTACCTTGACTTTTCTTTTCTTTTCTGGTTTCTTTTTTATTCTCTCAAGACTTGAGAAAGTAAAAATGGAGGAGATGGGTTCTATGTGGGATTTTGAAGAGGTGGGTTCCTTCTGCTCTTAATTTGTTTCCTCTTCTGGGTCTTGCTTGGTCTGGCATTTAAGCCCTTGCGTGTTCTGTTGTGTACTATGTACAGTGTGTTATATATTGTGTGATGTTCAATGTGTTTTATTTATGGGGTCTCAAGTCTAAACTTCAGTTCATTTCTCTCCTCATAACCGGTCCCATGATGAAGTCCATGAATTTTCTAATGACTCCGCCTTGTTGGTATGATTTATTTCCGTTTAAAGCCTTCATGGTAGTTGTTCTGTGTCTTGTATGCTGTTACAGCTTAGTATTCGCTTGCAAAAGTGTAGTAATCGGCTTGAATGAGCAACCTTAACTTGATGGCATTTTCTTTCTTTCGATTCTTACATGATATACTTGTAGTGTTTTTTGGTTTGGTAAAAAAAGTGGTCCTCGTTTTGCACTATTTTTTTCCCCTTCCTTTTTGTTTGCTCGGTGAAGAATTTGGACTTGCAAAACATGCCTCGGGTTGAAACTTAAGAGTCGAGACTTGTCTGTATTGATGTAAACTTGAGATGTTTCATGGCACAAGTTACGGGGACCAATATATTTTAAAAGATAGGTTTGTTTGGTGCACTCTTTCTCTCATTGGTTTTCTCTCTCCCTTTTCGAGTTCAATAGATTCACCCTATTTGACTTGAAGGACTTGTCATCCGCATGGGCCCAGATTGAGATTCTACTGTTTTTCTTACCATGGAAATTCTTGTTCATCAATTGGATTCATTTGGAATTTCTGTCTCTGCCTACTAGGATAGTGTGATTTTTGCATTAGTTTGTTTGGTGTAGACTCCTTTACCACTGCAAGCTAAGGTATTGATGTTGATTTCTGAGTTTCTTCGAAACCAAGGCTTCAATTTTTGTCGCGTTGCCCTATTGATTTTACTTATGAAAATATCAAGTCTGTATTATTACTCTATCCATATCTCATATCCGTATTTTGAAGTTGCCAAGCCATATTTTATTGAGTTCTTGTGCTCCTAGCAAAAATAATTAACTTGTATTGAATTGATTTTGCAGAGCTTCGATGAATTGAAGCAGAAGCTTATGTACACCACCATTGAATTAGATTCACTGAAAGTTGAAGCAAATGAAGGACTGAGGAAGCACAAGGAGGATGTTAAGCAATTAATTAATCTCCTAAAGATTGCTTACCAAGAAAGAGACGAGGCCAAAGGTCAACTGCAAAAACTGCTCAACAAACTCATGCTTTTCAGTACTTCTGAATTACTGCCCATTCTTCCTCAAGCACAACCGGAAAGCGCCCTTGTGATTCCTGCTAAAGCAAATTCCAGTATAACTGAATCCAACAGTCTATCTGATACGTATAATCATCAATCACATGGCTCCTCCCCTGTGGAGTCCTTATTTGATGCAGTTACTTCACCAGATTTCTCCAGCATTAACATGGCAGAATCAAGTCACATGGGGTTTGTGAATAAGGCCTTGGTTCAAGAATATGACGGCTCTATATCAACTGGTTTAGTGGCTTCAGCGATGGCCAAGATTGATCCTGCTGATATTGTAATTGATAATTTTGTCAAAGGAAAAGTCTTACCACAGAGCGGAAAACTGTTGCAGGCTGTGATGGAGACTGGTCCTCTTCTTCAAACACTTCTTCTTGCAGGTCCACTTCCGCGGTGGAGAAATCCGCCTCCGCTGCAGCAGTTCAAGATTCCTGTTTCTTTTAACGGTTTTGAAACTCCAAAGCTCACAGCAAATTCAAGCTGCCTTGCTCAACAACCATTTCCTTCCCCGTCAAATATTGGGTTGTCTCGTGGATCTTCTCAAATGTGTTCAGCTTCCATGTTAGATTTTGCTGCTTGTGCTTCTGGCTCAGGTATAGGCAATGGATGTTTGTTAAGTTCTCGTGATATGCATCAAATTCCAGCTAGGAAGCGGCAAAGATTTCAATGAGAATGTGGCACTTGGTTCCTTTTTTTTTTTTTGTAAAATCAAATTTCAGTGGTTAAGGGTGTAAAGGAGATGTTTTGTTTTCAGCGCTTGAGTGATATAACTAGTTAGCTTGGCTTATTTTCCTTTCTGTACATGAAATATTACATTTTCCTAATAGAATAGGTTTTCAAAACAGTTTCATTTTACTATGCCCTGAATACATTAGCATGAGAAAACATCATAGGATTTTGATCCTATTGTGTTTGGCCTTCAGGATCAGAGTAATGATCACAGGACAGCCAAATTTCATAGTCTTCACCATTGACAAATTAGGACCAGTGCAGAACAGTAGTTGTTATCCATGAGGTGTTGGGTGCTCGTTCCTGCCCTAATAATATCTGGAAGTATATTACTGATAAGGGAAATAAAATCTTCGTGAGCTGCAGATTAATTGCCTTATCGTAACAATCACAGTAGACAACAACATAGTTCAGGATGTTCTGTTTCTGCCAAGCTTACATTTGTAAACAAAAAAGCTACTACCTGAAAAGTACACAGTAGAAAGATCAATTGCTACTTTCACTAGCTTAGTTGTATTACATAGTTGTAGAAACTGAGGCAGTAGCTAGTAATGGATGACCTTAAACAAAATTTTGAACTCTGGCACAGTGTTAAAAGACCTTTTACTGCAAGATTCTGACTTCTTGCTCTTAAACCTCACCTCTGAAAATGTGTCCTACATCTGCCCCTGCATTTCCATAGAGAGGATATAAATGAGAGAGAACAGGTATTGCCTTGATATCCATTAATAGTGGACTGTGGTTAACAATTATATCTTCACACCATAATTTTAATATCTTCTATTTAATTATGACTATAGTTTTAAAATTAGGAGAACATTCGTTCATGTTCGCATATTTCTCAGAAAAAACTGACGGAACTTCGGTGTCATCTATACTCTCGCAGCTCATGTAAACACAGTGCTCTCAATCTTGTCAACTAATCTGTCCACATCTGTGGCTACATAGATTTAATCGTTCTCTATCTGTTACTCCTTAATTCCAAGAGGGGCTCTGTGGAGGCGAAGTTACACAAGAATAAGCATCTCTAAAATGTCCAGCAACTCAGCTTCATTCAAAGCCTTCAGATACCATACCCTTCAATTCTAATATTGCAGTGTTCATCTGTAACTTAAGCATAGCATGTCTTTAAGTCCAACGCCAGCCCCAGGACATGAATTTGAACGGCAGTCACATAGGAATCCGTTTGTGCTTGTGTCGGTTGCTCTTGTTTGCATCATCATCCTCCTCTGGCTCATTTACTGCAAAATTCTAAAACGAATTTGGTGTGCAGTTGTTAGTGTAACTTTCTCTACAAACCAGTCTGATAGGAGACATCTAAATGAGGTTTTCTTTGAAGATCCTTCAATGCATTTTCAGTGTCATGGACTTGAGCCCTCCATGACGCGCTCTCTCCCCATCACTCAGTTCAAGAAGAAGAATAAAGAAGAATCAAGTCCAAGCAATAATGAATGTGCAGTATGCTTGGGTGAATTTCAAGAAGGAGAATGGCTGAAACATTTACCGAACTGTTGTCATGCCTTTCATACTGCTTGTATTGACACTTGGTTTCAGTCTCACACAAATTGTCCTCTTTGCAGATCACATGTCTTTAATCTCAGTCCCTGTCGTGATTTTTCTGTTTCTGCGCACACACTGCTAGATATTCCAACGAGGGAAGAACTTTCCCAAGAAAGAGAAGCAAATTATGAAGTCCTACGCTCCCAGATCCTACAGAATTTAGCACTTGGACCTTAAGAAACAGGCAGTGGACTTGCTTCGTCGTGTTGATTGCATAAATTTCAGTGTAAAATATTTTATAGATAAAAAATATTTATTTTACATGTAAAATATTTTTAAATACTTTACTATGACTTTATATGTAAAATATTTTTTTGATATTTGATTTATAAAATATTTTCATTTAAAATATTCTACATGTAAATACTTTTCAATGATGTTAATAGCAATTGCTAAGTGGTCATAGTAGTGGGGGAGGGGGCAGAAAGATGGTGATCATAGTGGTGGAGAAAGAGAAGATGATGAAAAAACTGGTAGTGGAGGTGAGATAGTGATGGTGAAAGAGGAGATTGTAGTGAAGAAAGATACAGTGATGGTGGTGATTAAGATGAATTAAATAATTATGTACCATTCATAAAATATTTTACAAAATTTTATGAGCTCAAAATATTTTTCAGAACTAAATTTGAAAATTAACTACACTTTTTTTTTTCTGGAAAATACATAGCAATAAAAAAAATCAAAAAAATATTTTTATATAAATATTTTATGAAAAACAAAAGACCAAAACGAACTTTACAGTGCCTTTCATTTTAGGGAAATTAGATTAAACAGGTGAGAGCTGATGAAATTCTAAGAAAATCAGTAATTCCTAAGATACATGTAATGGAATGGAGATGAGTCCGCTGGGCAATCTGGACAGCAAAACAGAGAACAAGGTTCCATCTCCGACGGAGCCAAGTTAATCAGCAGTGTTGGAGCCAACCTAAGATATAAACATGTTACAGTCTTTCCATTTTTTCTTTTTTCCAAATCCTTCCTTACCCTGTTTCCTCCTTTAAACTTCTTCCATTGGCATTTCAAAAAAAAGAAAAAAGGGCAAGGACATTCAAATTTTGCTAAATTGACTTGGATCAGTGACTTTATTATGCAACAATTGATTCAAGCTGAAAGCTGTAGCAACAATTGGGACACAATATGAGAACCTCAACCAGCGAAAAAAAAGAAAATCCTTCCTCCTATATATAAATTGTGGCTATACCTGATATGAAAATGCCAGATCACACAATTTATTATATAAAGTAGACATTGAAATGATCTAATATCTGAAAGCATAGTTCAGACTTCAATGGATAGAAACCTCAAGACTACAAGGTTGCTGGATCTCAATTACAGTTAAACACGAGATAAAATATAACCAGAAGTTCCACAAGTTCACAACTCCAGACTAATTTTGCAAATCTCTATCATTAATGTCACAACAAAACGGCCTTACTCTGGAATGGAATAGCAAAGACCAACTTCGAAAGCAGAGAGCAAGCACTTAAATGATTCCAATCTTGTTCGCCACATCCAATGCTGGTGTCAACCTAACATATGCCTTCTTGGTACCATCAGGCCTGCAGCAAAATCATTGAACTCAGAAAAGGGACTAAACATTTTCAAAGGGAAGAAGATGAACAAGAAAAGGTTACAAGCAACAAGTCTCGTGGATCTGCCATGCATAAGAGTCCTGCCTTTTCCATGGCAGATGATAATTCAACCAAATTGCCAAGTATAACAAACTACATCTAATAGAGATGTATCAGTGTGTTGTAAATTACAGATGCAAAAAAAATGCCATCTTTTCTACATTTTCTAAATTGAATTGTAATAATCAATATCTTTGTAAGTGGTTCGATCAGACAATATCATATATTGATGAATTTGTTGTGACAACAAAACAGTAGAAGCTAAGGTTTTGTGCAAGAGCTGGTAGGGGTAATAATTCCAGGACGGTCTTGTTCATAATTAACATAATGAAATTCAAAAAAAACATCTAAGCAATTATTGACAAACACAATCTGCATGTGATTCAAAATAGTCAACCAACTTCTAAAAGAAAAACATCATATTTTCTCAAGACCAAAAACATTAAAAAGAGAAATAAAGATTGAACCTGACTTGACAGCGTACCTGATCAGGGTATTCACTTTCTTAGACTGAATGTCATGCATATTCTTGACAGCATCCTAGATTTTCTTCTTGTCAGCACGTATGTCAACTATGAAAACCAGGGTATTGTTGTCTTCAATCTTTTTTATTGCAGACTCAGTGGTGAGGGGATGCTTTAAAATCCGATAATGATCAAGCTTGTTCCTTGGTGTAGCACTAATGCGAGGATATTTAGGATTCCTCTCCTTCAATGTCCTAGGTCGATGAAATGTAACTTTAGTTCTGATCTTCTTCGTCTTCTTGAAGGTTGAACCTGACTTTACTGCTCTCGCAACCTTCATGGCCTATGACTTTGAGTCAGCCTTTTTTCAAACTGTCTGTTGTGCATGTAGCATGCACACAAATGGTGAAGAAAAATAACGATCATGAGCAACACAAACAAACTAATCAAAACCCATCCTCAACTGCTATTTTTAATAAATGCTGTTGAATGAAATCCTACTACACTAGCATACAAACCCATTAATCAGAACTACTCATGATTGCCAGGAATCGACAAGGGAAACAAAAAACATCACGCAATAGATTCAACGTATACAATAAAGAAGGCTGTTTACAAAGGATGTTTCAACGTATACAATAAAGAAGGCTGTTTCTGAAAACATTACAAAGGATATCATTCATAGGTACACACCTCAGCAATACCCTAGCCTTGCTCTTTTTCAATAATTTCATCAGTACAAGATAAGAAATGCACATTGAAAACACAAGAAACTTATTCCCGAGCTTAGATTTCTCTCGCCACTGAAAAAACACAATCAGCAAGGCTTATTTTCATCTAACAACCCAAAAACAGATCCTCTTTATAACAACTTATTGCTCACTTTTCAGCCATCCTATCAAACAACTTGATGTCATTTTCATTCATTCAAGTTTTCTTCTAATCGTTCACTTTTATTCTGTCTCTTTAAGTCATTAAACCAATAGTACAAGGTTATTAAACCAAAACATGAAACAAAAAAAAAAAAACAAAAAATCTTCAAAAAAGTAATACTAAATAACCAATCAAAATTATGTATGAATATTGAAATGGGATAAAATCATACCTTTAGCTGGTGCCCTTGCCGCCAAATCAACAACTTGAAACCCTAAAGAAAACCCATAAAATAAAAGGGTTAATAACTCTTGTTTAAAAATATACGAGTGTTAGATTAGAGAGATAGGTAAGAGAGAGGACCTGTGGCTGGCGAAGCCGTCTTTAGCAGAAATCATTATTTCCTCTCTTACAAATCACTAGATTGCAGCAGTGAATTTTTTGTTAGTTTTTAATTTGATTCTTGATATTTTTTTACACAATTGAGCTAAAATTAATATCCGATTACATTTATTTTTTTAATGATTGAAATAAAAAATAGAACGATAAATCAGGTGGCCTATTTGAATTTTATATAAAATAATTATTTTGATCCCTTCTCGGATATATTATTTTAATTTTCAGAAATTTAATTTTAAAGCTCAAAGTTTTTTTTATTTTTCAGTTTTCTTTTAAATAAAAGAAAAGACCACTAGATTTTAATAAGAAAAAAAATCATTAACAATGATTACAAATATCAAAATAAATGAAAATAATATCAATAAACTTTTTTTTAAAAAAAAATTCACCTAGATAGTTTCTCTTTTTTTCTTAACTAGAGTCTGTTAATTTTAATTTTTTGAATTATTATTTTTTTAAGATTATGAATAAATTTTAAAATAAAATAATTAAATAAAAAAACCAATACTATATTTATCCGATAACAAGTCGCTAGATTCTTCGTTCAATATAATATTTTAAAAAATTAAAATTGAGGTGGACAACCGTCTTATTAAAAAAAATATTAGGTCCAGGAGTATAGGCCTAAAGGACTACACGCCTAAGTTGAGTTTTTTTGACCCAATGTACCTGCATTTAATTTTTTAAAAGTTTTGTTGTTTTATATATGAATTAAAAAAATATTATTAAATTCAATTAAATTTATAAAATGTTTAATAAGTTCATGTAACATTTGATATATTTTTTTTATTTAATATTTTTTTATTTTTTTATTTAAAAAATATAATTTCATTATTTATTATTGATAATCTATTTTTATACTTAGCTCAAAATTAAAAAAAATAATTTTGTTTTTTTATCAATGAGTTATTTATATTATCAATCATATGTGTTTAATATATTTTTTTCTAAAAAAATATTTATTATAAAAGAATTTTTATGCACTTTATTATTGTGTAATTAAATGAAAAATAAATTTTTGTATAAAAATTTTGTTTGATCCAATGACATGCATGACTTATATTACAAGTTTACTTGGTTAACTCAATTTTATTTAGATTTTTTTTCTTAGTTAAGTGTTGTTTTTTACCACCATTATTTTTTAATAATAAATTAATTAAAAATTAAAATTTTTATTTTTTTTTAGATTATCCTCAAAAGTTATTACTCTTGCATATCAACTATTTATCTGAAAACCATTTCAGGTTATATAAATAAATAAAAATTAATTTTTTAAAACCAATAAAATTTCATTTCATAATTTCTCTTAACAAAATCTAAAGCTTTGAACTACCCATCAACCCACTAATTAACATGCCAAACTTATAATATTAGCTTTAAATCGAGTCAATGGTTTTTAAATGATTGTGTGTTCTAACAAAATTAAATTTCATGTAAGTTTATTTTGTCATGATAGTAATAATAGCATGATAGGTTGAGGATGATTTTCTATGTTTATGATTCTCGGATATCATGACATGATTGTTAAGAAAGATTATTACGGTTCATCTTTAAAATTTGGTTTTATGATTGTTTTGCATGGATTGAATGTGAATTGTGACCCTGTATTTGCTGGCGGCGGGTTGGCACGTAGATGACGGACGGGTCGGGCTTACAATTACCACCTCTAAAGATGGGTCTAAAAATGAAAGGGGAGTTTAAATCTAATAAAGTAGTCTAGGGAGGTAATTGAAAGAATCACAAAAGTCGAGGGGCGTTTTTTATACTTTTACCCCTTTTCCTTGCAATGAATTGTATGCTTTCACTATTTGAGTTGAAAGACAGTAGAAAATTTGTTGCCATGACAAGAATTAACGAGTGAGAGAAGGAAAATCAAAGCTGGCTATGATACAGAATGAGGAAGGCCACTTCAGTAAATACACATCAATCGATCTCTCACTCTTCCTCCGGTGAGGCGGTGCTACTTTCAGTTGGGTTGATGAATCCAGCTAATGGTCCTCGTATATCAGAGCCATAAACATGGCCCATCTTTGTACGCTTGGTTTCCAAGTACCTCTTATTTTCCTCTGTAATGGGTGTGAAGACAGGAACCCTACCAATAACAGCCAAGCCATATCCCTTCAAACCAGTGAACTTGGCGGGATTGTTGGTCATCAGGCGCATCGTTCGGACCCCTATGTCTCTTAGAATCTGCATCAAAGTTGAAAGAACTGATTCTAAATGTTCTTGTGATTTTCATTTGGAAAGAGTTTACCAATATTTTTTTTCGGGGGGTGGAGGGATTTTGACAGCATTTTCCGACTGACCTGAGCGCCAATGCCATACTCGCGTGCATCAACAGCTAATCCAAGTTCAATGTTGGCCTGGACCGTGTCATGACCTTGATCCTGCAAATTGTAGGCTCGAAGTTTGTGACCAAGGCCGATACCTCTTCCTTCATGGCCTCGAAGATAAACAACGATCCCTCTACCAGCTTGCTCAATTAACTGCATTGCCAAATCCAACTGATTGCCACAGTCACAACGAGCTGATCCAAATATATCCCCTGTCAAACATTCTGAATGAACTCTTACTAAAACATCCTGTCCATCTCCAATATTTCCCTGTTCATGTTAATTTGTTTAAAACCCGATGCAGCTAAGAAATTGAACATCTGAAAACGAACAGAGGAAAAAATCCAAGGACATGATTACCTTGACTATAGCTACGTGTTCTGTACCTTCTAGCTTTGAGCGGTAGCAGTAAGCTTCAAATAGACCCCACTTAGTAGGTAGACGAGAAATAGCACTCCTCTCTACTAGATATTCTCTCTTCCGCCGGTACCTACAGATCAGTGATTATATTGAAAAGTTACATGAAAAGAAAAATCCTGAATCAACAAGCTGAAGAAAATAAATTGAAATGAACAATAGCATGTCATGATCGATTAGAGGAGCATTCGAAATCATTCTAGCAAGTAATATATCACGGAGACACCAACAAAAGCCAATTTTAACCAAGAAATAATTATATGCATGCGTCAGTATCACCTTATTAAATCAGTTATTGATACGATTGGTATGTTGTGCTCCATTGCCAACTTTCTTATATCAGCCAAAGGGGCTATAGAACCGTCTTCTGGATCAATAATTGCTGAAAGAACAGAAACTGGTGGCAATCCAGCCAACATCACCAAATCTACAGAAGCCTCTGTATGACCAGCTCTTCTTAAAACCCCACCGTTGCGATACTTGAGTGGAAACACATGGCCTGGCCTTCTAAAATCTTCAGGCTTGGTCTCAGGAGAAGAAAGAGCAAGAACAGTCTTAGCCCTGTCTGATGCTGATACTCCAGTACATGTTCCAGATTTTGCGTCCTGAAAAGCAGGGAAAAAATGATACTTAATCAAACATGTTTAACAGATATTAATGAGTTAATTTGATTACACAGTATTTTGCTTTAGTAGGATTATATATACAGGACTGAAATGGAAGCGGGGTATCTATTAACATCTAAGAATTAAAACATACCACAGTGATTGTGAAAGTGGGGGCAGATGAATCTTCGTTCTCTGTCTCTGGTGACATCAGAGGAAGCTTAAGTCTTTCAAGATCCTCCTCTTTCATGCCTACCGAAACAATTCCTGATCCATTCTTAATCAGAAATGACACGTGCTGAGGACTTGTAAGAGATGCTGCCATGATAAGGTTTCCTTCAATATCCCCATTTTCATCGTCTACAACAATTACAAACTGAAAGATTTGCAGTCATGGTTAACATTTAACTCATGATTATTTATGCTTAGATCATAATGGAAATTTTATTGTGGTCATAATTCTGGTATTTTTTCTGAATTATTTCTCGAGCGCACACGGCAGGTATAGTTTTTTTGCTGACTTCAAAGAAGAAAAACTAAAGGAGATCGATCATCGAAGTTCTACAGGAGTAAGCAGAAAATAGTCCGCAAATATAGAAAGACGGAGAAAAGATTTACCTTTCCCTCACGTAAAGTATTTAGTGCCTGCTCAATTGAAGAGTACCCTTCGGTTGGGCAGTCAGGATCGCCCTCTGCGTCACTGACGAAGAAATCAATGGTTTCAGGAGTAATTTCAGCATCAAGTGTCAGAAATGGTGCTGAAGCAGACTCATCAAAAGCTCCAAACAGAGATCCATTTTCACTTCCCTCCAAAAAACTCTCATCAGACGCACTTCCACCCCCAATAGCCCAACATGTGGGGCTCAACAGCCTGTGTTTGAACAGGTCTGCTCCTATTCCTATACCACGAGGAGTCTCTAAAAGTCTCCGAAAGCTGCAACAGAACCATCATCAAATGGAAATGATATTAATGACAGCGTGCTATAATTAGCTAAATATACTTCTGTTAGCTAGCTAGCACAGACCTTGAACTCTTGACCACGTGGGGAAACAAGAGGTCAGTGTATAACCTGGCACAGTCCATGGAACTAGAGATGCTTAAAAAACAAAAGCCCTCTTCTAGTTCTGAAATGATTGACAATTTTCCTCCACTGCGTACTTGATATGTATTCTAGTAGTGTAGAAAACAAAGAAAAGCCCACCTCTTGTTCTGGATGTGTATTCGCTGGTGTCATTTGGTAGTGCCTTTATCCAAAAGCTTTTCATACAAACTTTTTCTTTCTGTCTTTTAATTTCTTTTAAGGGATATCTCAACTAGAATTTAAAATGTAATTTTTAGTTAAATTAAAAGAATAATTTGGCATGAAATAACATAATTAATTAATTAATTCTGAAATTAATTAATTAAATTAAATTAATTCCAAAAATAAAAATTATTTATTTTTCATAATATCCATTTGCCCCCGCGCTCTCCAAATCATTAACAATTTAGTCCCATTTTTTGTATTATATAAACTAATATAAGAGGCCACCAAATCTTTTAACTAAGAAAGTGTATGAAATTATAGATAATTTTTTATATCAATACGTTAAAATATTTAAAAAATATAAAAAATCAATTTTAATATTTTTTAAACTAAAAATATTTTTTAAAAATAACTAAAAACAAAACAAAAACAGAAGTTGTGTAAAAATGGAAAGCTGACGGAACTTTTTCATTAACTTTTGTGTCTAATTTGACGGTGAAATACATCAAATATGGACAAAGAAGTACTTGGAGGGATTAAATTATTTGTTTTATAAAAGTGCAAAGACCAGGTTATATTACCCATGCTCCGTTCCTTTGAGAATGAGATGGAAGCGTCCATTGACTTTGACTCGTACTGATAAAATAAAGTGACGTGGCGGAGCTTTTTAAGCCCCAAAAACGGAAGACAAACGTCCAGACGGACATAAAAGGGGACTCAAAAAGAGCGAAAATGTTGCCGGCGTGAGCGATGACCATTGCAATTGCTGGTCTGTAATGCGTAAACAGTGATCCCTCTCTAACCCCTACAACCCTACACGTGTCCTTTGTTCTTCTCTCTCCGATCCTAAATCCCCGCTTCCTTTTAATTTTTGCTTCAAAAGAAAATCAATAATTGTTTCTTTGAAAGCAGGTATGGCCGATTCATTATTATCAGGTAGCGTTAAAGAGAACAAGCTATGGAAGGGAGTCCTTGCTGTCGCCGGAATCATGACCACTCTTGTCATCTATGGTCTTTTACAGGTTTGTTTTTTCCTTTTGTTTTTATGTCTCCAAATGGTTTAGGGTTTGAGATTTGATTTTTAAAAAAAATATTTGGGGGTCTTGTCATCTATGGTCTTTTACAGGTTTTTTTTTTTCCTTTCGTTTTTATGTCTAGAAATGGTTTAGGGTTTGAGATTTGATTTTAAAAAAAAATATTTGGGAGCAGGAAAAGATCATGAGAGTCCCATATGGGTCAAACAAGGAATTCTTTAAGTACTCGTTGTTTCTTGTTTTCTGCAACCGCATTACCACGTCTGCTGTCTCTGCTGCTGCTCTTGTGGTAAGTCCCATTTGGTCTGTTTTAGAATTAGAATCTAATGTCTGAACAATGGGTTGATTTGGAATTTTGTTTTCTTAGGCAAGTAAAAAAGCTTTGAATCCTGTCGCTCCCGTTTACAAGTACTGTCTCATATCAGTATCCAACATACTGACCACAACTTGCCAGTATGAGGTATGTTATGCTTCTTCTTCTTTTTTACTACTTGCCAGTATGAGGTATGTTATGCTTCTTCTTTTTTACCATTGCTTTTATTAACGTTTCTGTTGGAATTAGTTTTCTGAATAAGTAATTCTAGATTTGTGCTGGATTAGGTTTAGATATTCTTATGCTGACAATATGTGCTTGATCCAGGCGCTCAAGTATGTTAGTTTCCCTGTCCAGACACTCGCTAAGTGTGCCAAAATGATTCCTGTCATGGTATGTTAATTTCCTGCGATGAATTATAATGTTACTGTTTCTGTCATTTCGGATCAGTTTAGTAACGAGCATTTTAATTTATCTAGCTCTAGCGTGTCGAGTTTGCTTTCTGGGTTGACTGTTCTAACAGCGGGCTTTAGTAGTATAAATTGAGGATACAGCTGCAGGGTTTCTAGCTATGTAATAGTTTAGTGCTAGCATGCATTTGTCTTTGCCTTTATTTTTTTATTTATCTATTTTTCTTTTTATGAATGTATTTCCTGAAGAAGTTATCTGATAGAGCTGCGTCTGCAGATTAGGATCAGTATTTTCATTGAGCTTTTTTTTGTATTTCTTTCCTGCTAAATAATCATTTGATGGATGAAGGTGATTCTATATCGTTCTTCTGGACGCAAGAAATCATTCTACAATGAACTTGATCCAAATTATTCCCAGAATGCTTGTCATGTATGTGCATGTCTTCTCTTTTCTTAGTAGCTGGGTGGTGGAGGTATGCCAACTTGCAGCCTGAAGTCCTTTAACACTGGCAATATGTAATTCTTTCTGCTGTACTTCTCAATAAATTATCCTTTTGGGACCAACTTCCTTCAAGTACTTCTAAGAAACATCTTGGAAACATTTGTTATGATGGATATAAGAAATTAATACAATAATGCATTAGAGAATGACTGAATGGATTGGTTTTGACAGAATGCTCAAAATGTCATCTTGCTGCATTTTTTGGCTTGTGTACCTTTCGCTGTCTGTTACAGTTTTAATTTTAATTTCAACTTTCAAAGTGTTGATTTCTCATCTTTTTTGTTCAGGTATGGGGCACAATCATTATGCAAAAGAGATACAAAGGAATGGACTACTTTTTGGCTCTTCTAGTGACACTGGGCTGTTCAATTTTCATTCTATTTCCAGTAATGACTATGCTTCCTGTCTCTGCCACTCCATTTTTAATGCTTTTTGATATATAGCATCTGCTTGTACTTGTTTGCAACTTGGTTTTTTTGGGTTGATTACACTTCATTCTGCTCCATAATGTATCTGTTTAGAAAGCAAAGACCACGCTAGTTTTCCATTTATTACCAAGATGAAAAGGCCAAAGTTAACCAGGATTCAAACAAATATATAAGCACAACTTTAGGAAAGAGCAACATCTGCATATATTTAGGGTTCCATATATGTAAACAAATAAATTTTTTAATATAAGTAAGGGTGAATATAAGCACAACTTTAGGAAAGAGCAACGTCTGCATATATTTAGGGTTCCGTATATGTAAACAAATAAAATTTTTAATATAAGGGTCAACAGTAAAAGACACCATCAGATTCTTGTATTTGTAGAATTATTACCAATGACTTGAAAATTGTTGATGATTGTCTCTGTGCTCTCCCTCCCTCCCTCCCTCTCTCTGTGTTTCTTTCTTAAGCCCTATCAATGCAAAGAGTAGCAATGGTAGGCATAATGAGAGATGTTTGGATCAGCAATGCATTGAATGGTCGAAGTTGTAAAAAAGACATCGAACCATACTACTGCAAACGGAGACTTGTGCATAGTGTTAGTTCATAATATCTAAACCAACTTGTGCACTGTTATCTTTTCATTTTACGACTCCTTTTCTGACGTCCAGAAATGAGACACCTTTGTTGTTTTATGGGAGATGAGAATATTGTGGTGGATGAAAATTAGAGCATTGCTTGTGTTAATTGAAACCTTGCCTTGTCTGCTACAGATATTCCTTGGGCTTTCTGTATGTACATGCTTTGTATTTGTAGTGGTTGCTGTTATTGTTCATGCATGATGGTAATCTATGGCAGTTATCTGCTTAAGAATCATCTTGACTACTACACACTGAACTAATTCTATTTTGTTTTTTGATTTAGGCAGGAACTGAGATCAGTCCATACAGCAGAGGAAGAGAAAACACTGTTTGGGGTGTTTCCCTGATGCTTGGCTATCTTGGGTATCAATTTTAAATGCATTTATTCTTGGGCGCTGCATTTGCTCCATTGTTAATTTAGCTGTCATTTCCATGAGCAAAATTGCTGTAAATTGAACATCTGTTTGCATATCCATGTCAGCTGTCATTTCCATGAGCAAAATTGCTGCAAATCACAATTTTATCCAGTTGTAAATTGAACATCTGTTTGCATATGCATGCTTTTGTTCTTTGCTGAAAGGGATGCCTGGAATGCCAATATCAAATTGTTTTGGCATGAATGCTAAAATGGGAAAGTGACTTCTTATATTGATGCTACATGAATCAACAGAATCATTTATATTTTACACTTCCTTGTTCAAGTAATTTATTGTATGGATAGAAAATTGACAAGTTTATGGGTGTGGGCCAAACAACATTGAGTGTTTTGTTAATGGTTCAGTGAAATTTTTTTGGGAAGAATAATGTTGCTCAGCACGTAAACCTTGTATTTCTGACAGTTTCGATGGATTTACAAGCACGTTCCAAGATAAGCTATTTAAAGGTTATGATATGGAGATTCACAATCAAATTTTCTATACAACATTGTGTTCTTGCATTCTCAGCTTGACAGGTGAGTTTCCCAATCTTGCCCAATCTCTCTCTCTCATGAATAAATTATGAAAATATTGTGATTTATGTATGGCTCTCTGCTGTCATTGGGTTATCTTGATTTGATCTTTTGTTTGGGGAGAAGTCATTGGATGGATTGTACATGTGAACCTTTTTTCACCTGTTTTTGCAGTTCGATTCCATTTTAATTGTCCAGTTAGGTATTGGGTTATAGGTTTAACTATGTAAGTGCTCAAATTTTTGTGGCTTGGAGTTGGACTTGCTGAGCTAGTGCTCTTAACCCATGTGAATTTTGCTCTCAGCATAGTTAGGAAAGGAAGAGCTGTGGTTCCTATCCTTTATGCTCAGTTCACTTAGAGATGATGAGCCTTTGCTTCCTTGTCTTTTGGGTTTCAAAATATTTTTAATGAAGGCAAATGCCATGATAGAGCTTTATTTTAAGCTTATAATGCTATAAACTTTTGTCTTGGACAATAGCACATTTCTTCTACTTTCAGATTGCATTTGTTTACGCTATTGCTTTTCTGTTGCTGACTCAATGCATTGACTTAATTTCTGTTGTAGGCCTTGTATTACAAGGACATCTTCTTCCAGCCATAGATTTTGTGTTCCGCCATAGTGATTGTTTCTTTGACATTGCATTGCTTTCCACCGTGAGTAATTCTTATTGTCATAACTCTATAATATCAAGGACCCAAATGTTTTTTGCTTGCCTTTATTAAACATCCTCCCCCCTTACTTTCAGAGAAGATTCAGAGTAAATTTGAGAAATAATATCATTCCGTGCAGGTAGCAACTGCTAGCCAGTTCTTCATTTCGTACACAATTCGCACATTTGGTGCTCTAACCTTTGCTGCTATAATGACCACAAGACAGGTGAATGGAAAAATCTCCAACTGAATCTAATGTTTCATTCTTGTCATCACTACCCTTCTGATAAACGATGCCTCTCTACTTGTCTTTGTAACTGAAGTTGGTGAGCATCGTGCTATCATGTGTGTGGTTCGCCCATCCTCTTAGCTGGGAACAATGGATTGGAGCTGTAAGTGTTAATCACAATCCTTGTTCAAACTCTCTCATCCCAAGGCTCCTAATTCTCATACATTGAATCAGGTTATCGTCTTTGGTTCTCTGTATGCAAGAAACTTGTTGAAAAGCACATCTTCGAAGCCTCCACCTTCCGAGCATACTCAAAATGGAGCGTCTAGTCCTATGAAGCAAAACCCTTGATGCAGTGACTTCAGAACTTTGGACTTGGTGCTGCCTCCAATTTTACAGTGATTGGCAGCTATTGGTCTCGTTGTGAGTTTCCCATTCAATAGACTGCAAAATGGATGGAGATGGACACGATTTCATCCAAACAATTCGATGCAGTACCACAAGCAAAAGGATCCTCTCTGAGTGGCATTAGTAGTTAATAGTGTTAGGGGAGGGAAGAAAAATAGTAAGAGAGAAGGTGACGTTCCATTTTTGTGTAGGAACTGACCACAGCATAAAAGGGCTGATCTTTTACTTGTGTTTAATGTCTGAACACATGCCCCTAAAATATATCCGAACAGAAAAGGTATAAAATATACCTACAATTTGATGCAGGAGCAAAGCATCTTGTCAGTATTTTATCACTAATGAACTTGAGGGATGCTTGTCTCTTATGTTTTCATTTATTTTATTTTATTTTTGGTTCGTTTTCTGAAAAAATCTAAAATATTTTTTTGTTTGAAATGAAATTTCTTCCCAGCCTATCCATAGGTGCTGGGGTTAATACAATCCAAGCTCATGTTTTCCAGCTGGGGGTATTTTCCTACACCCAATCCCAGCCTATCCATAGAGTTGTGCTAGACGTCGTCTTTGTTAGACCCTGGGCAGGCCTAAGCTACGATCTCGTCAGTGCTCTAGAGGATCTTAGTCTTGGGCTTGATCATTGTCCGGCTCTGGGTGCCTCAGATTTTACCCCAGCCTGCCTTTGGTGGGCTTGAACTGACCCTAGCTAGGCCCTTGATGCCCAGACTTAGCTCCGGCTCAGCTACTTGAAACTCTAAATTATGCCCGAACTTTCTATATGTGAAGTAATAACTAATTAAACTGTGATTATTAAAAAACATTAAGGAACAGTTTTGTTATATAATAATAAAATTTAATATTTAATTGTGAAATTATATATTTTCATATATATAAGAATAGGTAACTCCTTCCATTTAAAAATTGAAACTTTTAAACAAATTTTTGAATTTCTTTATTCAAATTAATTTTTTTATGTTTCTTCAATATTTTAATATATTGATGTCAAAAATAAATTTTAAAAAATAAAAAATATATTATTTTAATATATTTAAAAAAATATATTTTAAAATACAACACAACTGGTGATTGTCAGCGAGACGAAACAGAGCTTTAGTGCTGTCTTACCTCAAAGCACAAAGTAATCGACCTTGCGGTGCAGGAAATCCTGTAATATTTGGTCATGGTTTTTTGTGTTGTAATCGGATGGGGTAAGATCCAGTATAAATTGTACCACATATGAGTAAAATCTGATACATACTGGATTAATTTGGCATTATTAAACGCGTTTCAAAACAAAATCAATGCTTATGAATTCTATCAATAAGCACTAGAACTGCATAATATATATATATATCCTTGTGAAAAGAAAAGGAAAAACTATAAATTTAACCTTTTTTCATTTTTCCAAGTGCAAAAGGAAGATCTCCTGCCACTGGTGGTGCGCCGACCAAATTAACCACACTTGTCGACCAAAAAGTCATATAATAAACCCTAGCCTGGCGGAGTGGACTGATCTTTTGGAATTTTCATGCTTTCTTACGGCCGTCCAGGGATAGGGTTGGTGAAGTTAAAGTTAGGAAACCTTCGGCGAAAGGAAAAGAAGAAAAGGAAAACTGAAAGCGGTGTGGATAGAGTTAAATTTTATTGCTTGATTCAACTCCTGCCGAGATTGTATTTTTCCTTTTGTCCCATTAAAATACACAGAGACCATAGACTTTCTAGAAAGCAAATGCAAGGTAAGAAATAGAAGACGTCAAGGAGCCCCACGACTAGGAAATCTGAAATCGACTACTAACCAGAAGTGTACATTGTTGTCATCATTTTGTCTTTGATTTCGTGGGTAGGCATGCACACAGCCACTCGAAGACAGAGAATGCCACCTTTGCTCGGCCCTGCCAGGACAGGCCATGGTTATAAAATCTCTTACATGTTAACATGGGACAACAGGATATATAAAACTCTCCCGAGAGCTTGGCCAGTTCTTCTGCTCTGTATCTACTTATAATTTAGTTTGGTTTGGAATATACTCAAATGGCCATGACATTAAGTAATAGAGTGAGAGATAAGAATTAATTACAAGTGGGACTTCAAGACAAAAATAATTTCGTAAGATATTTTTATTTTTTTGAGAACTATATAAGCTGTTTTCCCTTTTATCATAAAGTATTTAATTTCTATTCTGCAAATGTAGGTGAACCAAGCGTTAAGAAGTAAGGATAAGGTTCTAATAACATATATTTCTGGTTAAACAAACAAATTCTTCAGAAAGTGGGACTCGGTGTCTCAAGCCAGCGCTGGACAATTTTATGCCCAAGACTTTTGGAATTGGACTGCAATTGTGGTATGACCAAACGAAAACTCAAATATAGAGGGAGCATGCATGTCCAAAATTAATTATATTGGGTGTGTTTGTAGCGTAATTATGGCTTTTTTTTAAAGTATATTTTATTTAAAAATATATTATTTTTTATTTTTTTACATGAATATATATCAAAACAATTTAAAAATACTAAAAAAGTTAATTTAAAATAAATCAATAAATAAATGTTTTTCAAAAGAAACTTTAAAAAACAGTCATAAGTATCTAAAGGGTCTCAATAACAGAAGACAGATGAAGAAGCAAGAAAAGGAGTGGTGTTGCGTCTCTCTACTGAAAAATTACAAAAAACCTTGCCTGTCCTTGAGTGCCGACTTTTGCCTCGGCATGCATCAACCCGTGACTCCACAGGTTATAATGAACGACTCACATGCTCTCTCTCTCTCTCTCTGTATATTTATATATATAACATTCCGACACCAGCAGAACAAAATGCATCAGGTATAATTTATGACGTGCCTGGAGACCAATGATGCATGGTCTCCGATCTGAGACTGTGAAGGAATAAAATATAGGGTGCTCCTAATTACCAGTTGTTGTTTTCCTGCGTGAGCGTAATAATGCGGAAGGGAACAATTAATTTGTTCAAACAAACAACGCACTTGGCCAAGCAGTATACGTTTTTGTTTTTGTTTTATTTTTTTAACAGAACAAAACATTTACACCGATCTGTATAATTGAATGGCCAGCAAGCGAAATTAATTATGATGCACATTAGTTAATTACTTTTAAACAACAACGTAAGATTACTCATGATGATGCAACCGATCTCATGAAACAGAGCTCACATTTTCATACGGTATATATGGCACGCTAGCTTCTTGATTAGCATGATTAAACAGCTATTATTAATTTCACACAGCCTGCATGCTAGTAGTTCACACTATTCATGCATTAGTAAAAACAATTAAAAAGAAATTATGAGGCAGAATGCATGAATCAACTGCTCAGGTTGACCATCAAGGGAATGGGGATGACGAAGGCGATGTTGTTGCAGATGGCCACAGCTGTGCTTTCTTCACTTTGGAGACGCTTGCAAGGACGCCTGAAGGGGTCACATCCCCTATGACCGTAACTTTCTTTGTCTCAAAATCTATGCTGAAAGATGTAACTCCTGCGCATAAATTTTAAGGCATCGCTTTAGCCCACAAGTTTATATGAAATTGGTAAACAAATCAACAGAGTTCTCTCTTGTTTGTGTAGTAGCATTAAATAACCTTCCATTTTGGAGATATGTTTCCTCACTTTTCCTTCGCATCCTTTGCAATGAATAGAAACCCTCAAAACCACAACCTGAAAAGAATTGATTAGCGATAAGATTATGTAATAATATTATTAAGATTCAAAAAGAGTAGTAATAAACGAGTGATTAATATTTTGAGCCTAGTCCTTGTCTATCTTAAATAATGAGCTGAAATATTAACTATGTAGAAATTACTAATTGATATATGAACTTGTGTAGAAACTAATTAACAACCTGATGACGGGAGCATGTTGAGGAAGAAGATCTTAAAGCAGGAGAATCATTTGAGCTCATATGACTGGGTTTATTTCCAGTGTCAGACACGTTGTCAGCCTCTGAGATCCAGTCACGAGAGAAAACCAAAGAAGAAGATCTCCGTGCTGGAAAATCAGTCGAGCTATTTGTAAGCCTCGGGTTTGCATGCTGAGTGCTAAGAACCATTGCAGGGACTTCATGATGATCAGACCCCGAAATCCAATCGATATCAGGAGCTGTATCGCTTACAAGAAGGTGCCTGGAGGAGGAACCTGGAACAGGGGGACTTTGTAGATCACTTATATCAGCAGAGCTTTTTCTACGTAAATAACTCTGCTTAACAGAACTGATCACCGATCTACTATCTTCAGCGGAGCTTTTCCTATATAAATCTCTTTGCTTAGTAGAACTTTTCCTGCTATAAGGACTGCAGGGGCTAGGGGGCAACTCAGATGAGCAAGCTGGTGTATAATCAGATTTAGAACTCTTCCTATCAATAGGTCTAGTTCCATGGCGCACTATGGAACGATGGTCTAGGCTTGAGCAAATGGCTGTGGAAGCTGGAGAAGCACAGAGAAGATCCATCATTTTCATGTTTTTGGACCAAGCAAAGGCTATGTAAGTAGTCAATGCTAGGAGCTATAATTGCTGGTTTACAAGCGCGGAAGAAAGAGATTAATACAAAAATCTTCTTAATGATAACAACAAATCCGCTTTTTAAAGAGGTGTGGCTTCCAGAGATTCGCGTGTTCGAAAATGTTTTTGTTTTTGTTTTTTTTTTTTATATATTTCAAGTTTTGTTTTTGTTTTTTTTTTTATATATATTTCACTTGAAATATATATATATAGTTTTAATAAGCGAATATAAAAAACAAAAAAATATATTTTAATATATTTTTAAAAAAATATTTTTTAAAATTCTTAGGGACGACGGTACCACATATATAAAGAAAATGAACCATTTTGGTCCCCATACAAAGAAATATTGAATAATAGGACTTCGGAACTTGGAAGGAGTGTGATTCTGGATCTTTCGAATTATTGTAATCAACTTTCAATTATTTAGATTTAAAATATTTGAGGTGGGGCTGTTGATCCCTTGTGTGTCATGATTACTAACACTGGCTGCTAACCAGATCATGGTACTAATCCCTTTTTCCCGCGGTTGATTATAACTTAGTCCCTGTGCTTTATTGAAACTAATTAATTAGTCCTCGTTGGTTTCTAAGAATATATAGTTAAACAATGTATTTTTAAGTGCATTTATAACTTAATCTTTTTCAACCTTTCTCGGTCCTTTTTCACTTTATTATTTTTTTCAAAAGAAAATGATTACTTGCATTCGACTAGAAAAATGAGCTTACTTTTAACATGAAATGATTAGACCATTGATGATATACAAAAGCAGCTTCTAGATGTGTGTTTAGGCATTGCTTTTATAAAAAAATAAAAAAAAATGATTTTTTTAAAATTAATTTTTTTATGTGATTTTAGAT